GGTGTACGTCCTTCCCAATTTTGAACCATGCAGTGTTTCCTTGCTCTGTTCTGATGACTGCCTCTTGGTCCAAGTATAGGTTTCTCATTAGCACGATCAAGTGTTCTGGGATTCCCATTCTCTTCGAGTCAGACACAGTTTGTTATGATCCACACAATATGTAACCATGTAACCTAAAATTTTATGATAAGCTTTAAGGTAGGTTATATCACATCTTAATTATTCAGAATTGGGTTTTCAGCTAATGTTTCAACTTCTCTATGTTGGGTACTAAACATTTATAAAGGCTTAATTGCCTATAACTTTTATCTCTTTCTTTTTTTTTTCTTTAAAGAAAAGATACAGCTTGGCAGTTGGGCCTCCCAAGAAAGACCCGAAAGTTAAGGGTGTCCAGTCAGCAGCAGTGCAAGCTTTTCTCCGAAGGAAAGAAGAGGAACTCAGACGGAAAGGTATATACCTATATTCTTACCAAAATTCTTACTGGACCAATAGGCAACATCATGATAGATGCTGAAAAGATTGAAACTGTCAACTGTTTCATCTTGGCTTGGATCCATAGTCCACTACCTTGATAACCAGCAGTCAGGAGATGTATAACACTGGGAAAGTCTGCTGTCAGGGATCTTATCTAAAGTCCATTGCTCCAAAGAGCAATGATGTCAGTTTAAAGACTAAGATGTGTCTGATTTAAGCTGCAATTTTTCCAGTCACCTGTAATGCCTCTTACAGCTGGACAACGATTAAGGATAACAGGAGAAGAATTGGTGCATTTAATGAGTTACGGTGCTGAAGAAAAGTGCTGAATATCCTGTGGACTACCAGAAGAACAAATAGATATGTCTTAGAGAAAGTGAAACCAGTGTTCCTTGAAAGCAAATATTTTCCTCTCACATAGTTTGGACATGTCCTAACAATGGCTATTCCTTGGAGAGGAAAGGTGCATCAGCAAAGGAGAGGAAGATTCAATGAGATGGATTTGTCAGGGATGATAAGGATGGCACAGGAATGACAAGGTTCCACATAGCTTTGTACATAGACAACACTTAACAAGAAAAACCACCATCAAACTCAGAAACAAAACCAAGTCCATAGCCAGTGAATCTTTTCCAACTCTTGATGAATCTATAGGTCAAAATAGAACTCTCTCAAAGAGCTTCGGAAGCTATAAACTTTTTTTTTTTTTTTTTTTTTGAAGCTATAAACCTTTATAGGGGCAGACTGCCACCTCTTTCTCCCCAGAGCTGTGAGGTTAAAATCACCAGCAGCTCTGTGGAAAAAAGATGGACAGTTTCCTCCCAAGCAATTACAGCCTCTGAAAATCCTCTAGAAGGTGAGCTCTGAGTCAATTCTGACTTGATGGCACATATAACATCCCCAGTGGACTGGCTGGCTGGTGGATTCAAACCTCCAACCTTTGTTAGAAGTCTGCCACTTAACAAAGTCCACCACTTAACCCCTCTGTGTCAAGAGATGTGGATCCTTGGGGAAACATAGCAGGCTAATGAATTTGTTTTTTGTGTGTATCTGGCTGCTTATGTTTTCTTATGTTAATCACTGGTATAGAAGTTATCTTTTATTCTCTGTTAAAAGCTCTGGGAACTGTGATTTTTTTTTTCCTTTAATTAGCTATGGTAAGTTCCTAATTAATAGTAACACTTAATTGTTTACCTTGGTTCTGAATCATCTTCTACCTACTTGGTATTTGGATGTTTTGCTTTACATTAAAATGTTATCTTAAATGTTGAAATAAGGACAGTCTATGAAAACCATTAGGCTCAGAAGTATTTTTGCCTCACTCAAATGACAAGGAAACAGATTAAATAAATAAATTAATGTATTTATTGATTTGTATTTAATAACAACTGTTAAGTAGATACTTATATTCCCTTAACTTATTAGACTTATTTGGTATAAACTTTTCTATATTTAAAACTGAAACCCCAGTTTCTCACTTCCTTAGTCATATAGAAAAACACATATGTGACCCACTCATTATGTAAAGATGACTCAGTTGTTACTTCAAATAACTTCCTTATTTGATTCCTAGAAGTCTTTAAACGTTAGCTTGAACATTGTGTTTAGGCCAACCACTACTGATTTCAGTTGAACATCCTGCCATCTTTTTAAAATAATAAATTTATCAGGCTTAATTTGAAAGTTTACATAGCAAATTAGATTCCCATTTAACAATTGCTACACAAATCATTTTATGGTAATCATTAACATTTTTTCAGTGTTGGTATTCTTACTCATTCTGTTCTAGTTGTACCATTTCCAGTACTCTTTTTGGGTTAGGGGAGTCAGTCAACTTGACAGCACATAACAAAAACAACTGTTTCTTTGTCTTCCAACTCCTTTACACACTTTTTTTTTTTCTTTAGAGTGTATTTTTTTTAATGTATAAAGGAGCACATTACTCATGGCTAATATTTGTCTTTTTTTTTTTTTTTTAGAAAATTTGTTGTTTAGCTAAAAGATGACCTAGATGACCTAAAGACAAAGATAATTTCACTTAAAAGTTTAAAGATATACCAAGCTGATAGTTTTATGGAGTCCTCTTGTCTAAATCATCAAATAAGTCTAGACTTCTTAAGAATTTGAGTTCTGTTCCACACTTCTTTCCATTCCTTCAGGATCCATTTATTAGGGCTCTATTGAAAGTGGTCTATGATAGCCAGACACCATCTTGTTCTCTGATCTCCGAGTCGATGATACCATGGTCCATGTAGACTACTTTCTGAGTTTCCTTCTATCTTTTGTTCCAGACAATCCAGAGAACAATAATTGTAGCTTGGATGGCTGCTTTTAGACCCCAGACTATTTACGACATTTAAATGAAGAATATAACACTTTATGAACATGTTATGCCAATTAACTGAATTGTCATACAAAACTATGATCCTAAGCCTTCAAACCCAATAAAAACAGTCTCATGAGGAGTGTAGATAAAAAGTATCTGTAACTGTCCTTGATGTGGTTTATCATGTATATGGATATAGATGTGTGGTCATACATAGCTGGGCAAATGTATGCCAGTATTAGTGAGCTTTGGTGACCTAATTGGTAAGGAGCTGGCTCTACCAACCCAAAGATAAATGATTCAAATCTACCGGCTACTCCATGGGAGAAATATGGGCAGTGTCCCCATGTGATTGATAGCCTCAGAAAATCCTTTGGATCGCCAGCTGTAGGTCAGTTTTGAATGCAGCAGCAAGCGAGAGATAATTTACCTGCGTGCACACATACCCACATATGCAACATCCATTCATACACATACACCCTGTACATATCTGTGTAACTTCACACATTTTTTATTGTAATTGGTGGTAGTATCACAACAAGTGTATGTGTCATAGCCTTTATCATAATACTATTATCCTGAAATTCTGAACTAATAGGATGTTCTTGTTTTGTCCCTTTTAGCCTTAGAGGAAAAAAAAAGAAAAGAAGACCTAGTCAAAAAGCGAATTGAGCTAAAACATGACAAGAAAGCAAGAGCCATGGCCAAAAGGACAAAGGATAATTTCCATGGTTACAATGGGGTTCCTGTTGAAGAAAAGTCAAAGAAGAGGACGGCAGTGGAAAATCAAACCAGCCAGGGAACAGACCAGGAGTATGAAAGAAGCGTGATGGAAGAAGAGGATGAATACCTAGAATACAATCAAGAAGGGTCCGAGCTGGAGTACGAGGAAGAGCAGGAACCTCCCAAAGTTGAAAGCAAGCCAAAGGTTCCCCTTAAAAGTGCCCCACCACCTATGAACTTCACTGATCTACTCAGGCTGGCTGAGAAAAAGCAGTATGAACCAGTGGAGATTAAAGTTGTAAAGAAAACAGAAGAGAGGCCCCTGACTGCAGAAGAACTTAGGGAGCGAGAATTCCTCGAACGAAAGCATAGGAAAAAGAAACCAGAGATAGAAGCAAGACTACCTCCCACTATGCCCAAAAAGGTGCCCTCTCAGAGAGAAAGCATGAGCTCAAAGCTTAGCAAAGGTTCTGGGGACAAGATTCCTCCTTCTAAAGGAGCTCCCCTTCCTCATGCTGAGAAGAAATCCAGGCCCAGCACAACCAGTGAGAAACACTTGGGTTTGTCATCTAAATCCATGACAGGGGAGAAGACCAAGGCAGTATCAGGCAATTACCCCCATCCCTCACTTCGAGAGGGCCGTGACAAACCTGTATTGAATGGGACAGGAAAGTCCCATTCTAGCACCTATTCACCAAGTGTCCAAAAATCGTCTGCGAGCGGGACTCAGAAATCTCTTGCTGAGCACAAAGCCAAAAAATCTCCTCCTTCCCATCCTAGCCATTCCAGGCCTGGGCCAATGGTCACCCCAAACAAGAATGTGAAGAGTCCAGGTGTCCGGCAGCCAGGCAGCAGCTCTAGCTCAGCCCCCGGGCGGCCCAGCACAGGAACTGCTCGACCCCTTGCTACCCCTAGCCCTATGTCCAAGCGCCAGAATGGAAGTTCCAGTGCAGGACCTGAGCGATCAGTCAACGGGACCAAGAGACCAACCAGTGATTCAAATCCCTCCACTCGGACAGTCAGTGGCCCTGGGCGACCCATCAGTGGCTCCCATGGTTCTGGGAGACCTACAGGCAGCTCTGGTGGCCCTGGGCGGCCTGTGAGCAGTACACATGACCTTCAGCGACCAGTGAGTGGTTCAGGCGCTCCTCGGCAGCCAGTTGGTGGCCCAAGGCAATCAGGAGGTGGCTTGGTTTCAACTGAACGGACTGTCAGACCAGTAAGCAGCTTGAGACCTGGGCAGACGGTTGGCAGCTCAGGTCCTCCTGTAAAACCTAAGTGCACTGTTGTTTCAGAAACAATTTCTTCCAAGAATATAATTAGCCGGTCTAGCAATGGACAGATGAATGGAATGAAGCCTTCTCTATCTGGCTCCAGATTTGCTCAAGGTAAAATTGCCCCTCAACCTGAAAATATGTCCCTAGGGAATTGAAAAGAGTGCTTTATATGCCCAGAGACCCTGTGAACCTTTCCATATGTCTTTTTTTTTATACAATAGTGCTGATAGAACCCTGATGATTTGTCTCCCTGTGCTTGAGAGCTATCTTGGCTTAGAAAAAGGCTTTAGTTAAAACTTCTGTTCACCCTTGCAGTGTCCCCAAATGGATTCAACTTAGCTGTGTGATTTAGGAGATAGGGTGATTGTGCACATAAAAGTTTGTCTGGTGCTGCTATAGTAGAAATACCATAAGTGGGTAGCTTTAACAAACATTTTATTTTCGCTGACTTTAGGAGAATTGAGGATGCCAACTCTAGGGGAAGGCTTTCTGTCTCTGGATCTGGGCAAAAAAAAGATGGTCTCTTCCACTCTGCTTCCTTGATGGTCTCTATATATTTTGGCATCTGTCATATTTTTTAATGAGCCCCTCATCTAGAAGCTCTGAGGTAGATTTTCAAACAACATGACCTGCCTCTAATGCCTGACTCTACAAGTCTGTATTACAGCTCTTCTGTTCCCATAAGCAAATAGTATATGGGAGTTGTTTGCTGCAAAAGCTTGGAGTCACATAGTCATAGTTTTGAGCCCCCCTGTGCCATTCATAGTGGGCTATTGTGACATTGTTAGATGCTGATCCTCACCATCTCAGACAATATTTGAACTCGTTGTTGCAGTCACTGTATCAATCCATCTGGTTGAGGATCTTCCTTTCTTTCACTGACCCTCCACCTTTCCTAGCAACATGCCCAAAGTATATAAGATGAAGCTTTGTTATTTTTGGTTCCAAGGAGGTCTCTGGCTGCACCTCTCTAAGACATCTCTGTATTTATGCAATCCATGGGATATTCCGTATTCTTCTCCAGTACCACAGCTCAAAGGCATTAATTCTGTCATCTTAATCATTGTTCAGCTCTCAAATGCAAAGCAAGTGATTGAATTTCAACTGATTTCAATTGACTGTGATACAGAATCATCGAACCTCTTTGGAGGTTCAAATCCACCTGGACTCCTCAGGAGAAAGATGGGAAATCTCCCATATGAATTACACCCTTAGAAGCCCAGAGAGGGGCATTTGTGAGTCATTTCTGACTAATGGACAGAAATTAGTTGTTTATATATTTTAAGAAATTGACTCAGGACACACCCTGCACAAATCCCATCTCATTAACACAACAAAGGCAGTTCATTCCCAAAAGAGATTTATAATTACAGTCATAGAGGTACCCAGAAAACTGGCTTGAGTTCTTAAAATTTCCATGTACATAGAACTCTGTTGAGACACAAGAGTTTCTATTTGAACTCTTCTGTATAACATTTTATAAAAATCATAATTTATAAAATTGTAAAACTTCATAAAAATTAATTTCCAAAAAAAAATTTATTTCACAGTAAACAGAACAAAAAAGTCTGGTAAGTAATGACTTTTCTATTCTTAGGTCCCCAAAAGCTTCCCTTTTCTGGTTACAAACGGCAGCGAGACTACTTTGATGAGGAAGATGATGATGATGATGATTATGACTCTGAAATGGAAGATTTTATTGATGATGAAGGAGAACCTCAGGAAGAAATATCGAAGCACATTCGAGAAATATTTGGCTATGACCGGAAAAAGTAAGGCGTTAAAGAATCTAGACGAATGTGATTTTTTTCATGTAGTGAAAAAGAAATAAGCATTGATAGTCTAGACATTGGATAAAATTCCTAATTAAGAGTGTACAACTTAATGTCACACAGGTGTACCCGTCAAAATTGACATATGTTTTGCTCTAACTTTTCAATAATCAACCAAGTCCATTCTGACTCATAGAGACTATAGGGAGGACTAGAACTGCCCCATTGGGTTTTCTAGTCTATAAATTGGTCACAGAAGCCAACTGCCACATTGTTATCCTCAGGAGCAGCTGGTGAGGGGAAAATGGGAGGATGTAGTTCCTTTAGAAAACTGAGATTTTAATCATCTTTTATAACTCTTATTAGATACAAAGATGAAAGTGATTATGCCTTACGTTACATGGAGAGTAGTTGGAAAGAGCAGCAAAAGGAAGAGGCAAAGAGGTAAGCACAAAAGTTAACACTTCTGTTACATTTAAATGCATGAAATTTTTTCCTGCTTCAGTTTCACCACTGAGGGCAGGGGCTTGGATCCACATGATCAACACTCCAATCCTTATGTAATCTTACTTGCTGTGTGGCCCTCAGGAAAATCCCTTGGTCTTTTAAAATCTTTTTAAAATCTGTCCTCTCAATGAGAAGATAATTTTTTGCCCAGTGAGGTATTTTGAGGATCAAGACCATGTTTACAGTTGTCTAGTGCAAGACCTTCACAGGGTAAATGTGCAGTGTATTTACTGCACCCTAGTCTGCTCTTACCGGTTTATTGCTTTATGTCTTTCATCCCTAATTCTTTTCCTCTATCAGAATTATGTTTTGTTTTGGTTTTTATTTTATTAATTTTAATGAACATTTACAGAGATTTTGCATTTTCCTTCATTCATTGTTGCACTTTTCTCCCCACCCACCCCAGAATTACCTCAGTTTTGATAATCTGTAACACTGCTGGCCTCAGGCAGCTGATAGGAATTTATGGCATTTCCGGATTTCTTTTTACCTTCCTCATAGTAAACTAGTCTGAAATTCCTAGATAGGGATAATAAATGGAGTTTATTTTGTCCTGTTAACTTGATAAATTAATCCACCTCAGTCTCAGCCCAGAATACTAAACCCCTTTTTCCACCCTGCACTTTCTCCTGTATGATAAAATATCAACTAAGCATTAAAAGGCACAAATAGAATGTTTTATTTCTTTATTTCTTGAATAAATGGGTTTTAATTGTAACACTGTTGAGGTAGATAATTCTGTTTTTATTTTGGTTGTATGTGATGTCTTTTTTCTCAGTACAGTTTGGATCAGTGGCCCCTCATAAAAAAAGATCTTTGCTAATCTTTTTCCAGTAGTAAAGCTTTCTCCTGAGATATTTTGAGCACATCAGCGCATTCCATGAGAGTTCCCAGTGCTTTTAATGCACTGTGTAACAAACTAGGCAGTAGAACAGAAGCACTAAACACATTCGTTTAGGCCATTTAATTTGGATGGCCTATGAAACCATGACCCTAAACCTGCAAACCAAAACATTAGATACTGTGAGGTGTTTGTACATAAGCAACTTCAGAGCTCCTTTTTTTGATCATTGTCTTTCTCCATTTATTTCAGCAGTGGTTTATGGTTTGTTCTCATTGTCTAACTCCTTTGTGTCCTTGGCTAGATTTATCCTTAGGTATTTTCTTAGGTGGTGTGACTCAGTGTTGATTCCTTAATTCTTACAGATCTTTAATTTCCCCCAATTTAGAGTCACTCAGAGCCAAGCACCATTTCCTTGTATTTTTGTATTTGTAGGGGAAGAACAGAACAGTGTCTTATTTATGCTGCCATCTTCCCAAATTTCCCTTCATTCTTATTTTGTTTTGTTGTTTTTATAAGAATATGTGGCAATCTCAAATATCCTTGCTTTTTGTATTGACAGTTTAAGATTAGGTATGCAGGAGGACTTAGAAGAAATGAGACGTGAAGAAGAGATGCTGAAACGTCAAAAGGCCAAGAAGCTGAAGAGGCATTAACTGCTGCTTTGGTGACATTCTGGAGACAACGCTGCTGTGAGGAATTCCTGCCTTCAAACTGAGGAGGCCTCTTTATCATTGTAGATTTCTACTTGGATAGTCAAGGAATGCATACAGTTGTTTGCAGGCTGTCATTTGAGCACAAAATATTTTTCAAATATTATCTAGGGTGAAATCTGTAATGCAGGTGATTTACTAATGCTCACTAAATGCTCTTCTGAAGTTCACTTGTTCAGATGCCAGCCTTGAATCCTGATAAGCTATGCACTCTAACATGGGGCTCAACATTCAAGCCAATCTTCTGTAGCTACGTTGCTACTAAAAGGAAAAGGGTTGCTGCTTGACTTACATAATTCTTCTGATGTGTGAAATAGGTCAGTCTCCAAATTCCACTTAAACTTCCTGTCTTTTCTAAGGAACCTGGCCCTTCATGAATGTTGCCAGCAATAAAGTGACCTGCCCTATGTGTGTGCTTTGAGAGAGAGCTTAAAAATGTAGACTTTATAGTTAACATACATGTCATCCCTGTGACTTTGAAGTAAATAGAATAAATTCTATTGTATTGTGCATTATTCATGGATTTGATGTGAAACATTGTTAATCACTAATGTAGGTGATTAAGCAAGTAACAATTTTTCCAAGTTTTCCTTTCATAGTGTTGGCTATATTAGATAGACTAAGGTCACTGTGCTGATTGATTTCCCCCTATTTAAAAAAAATCCATTTTTATATTGAAGAAAACATTATATTCAAATATAAGATTTGAAAGAGTACTAGTTTAAAAACTAAGATACACCTAAGGTTCCTATTTCGTCCTCATCATAAAGGTATTTTGGAATCCTAAAATGTCCTTCTATCTGTTGATATTAATGACTTTGCATTTTTATCTTAAAATTACTTAGGAAATAGTAATGGCAAAAAACCAAAAACTAAATTCATGAGAATTAAGAACATGAGCTTCTCTTTTCCCCCAATTGCACTTTTCTTTCAAACTATGCACTGTGAAGAGATTGTCCTGAATAGAAAAGGATTTTGAAGAATTTTTTCCCATTACTGTGAAACTTTCTTCATTCTCACACCCTTCTGCAAGTCCTGTCTATATATAGGCCTGGTTATCTCTTGACTCAAGTCCGAGCAATTCTCATCAGCCTGACCTCGTCTCAAGGAAAGTTAGCAAAAGAAAAATGAGATCCTATATGCTAAGGAGCATTTGTCCTTCATGGAAAGTTAGTTTGTACAATAGTTTTATAATAAACTCTGGCTGTCTTAAGCCATTGAAAGGTGGGGTTTAGGAAATAGGTGTTTTTCTATAAAGAATTCCTCATCTTCAAAGGTCCAAAACTTATTGTGTGTATATATCTTTTTGTCCATGAAACTTTTCTTTTTCAAGTTTGCTTATTATAGATTACCACTGTTATTCTCACTTGTGGGGACCATATAACTCAGTCCTTTCACTCATTTTTAATTACATTTAAATTTTTTAAAAGCACATAAATTTAATTTTTAATTTAAATCCCACAGAAGATATGACTACGAATAACACCCTTCCTAACTCACCACATAGAACTTTCACAGTGGTGGCAGAAAATTATAGTGGCTGCTTGTCACCCATCTCAACTAAAATCCATTTAAATGTAATACCATGTTCCATGTAATAAACTGTTTGGAACATTATTTCCTTTGCCATCATTTATGTGCTTTAGTTTCCCTTCAAAACAATATTTTTTGTGTGTATATAAATATTCAGATCCTTGGGAATCTTACTACAATCAAATGATTGTCATAGCTGAAAGATTTGTTGTGGCTTAAAATTAACTAGCACTTTAATCGCTAATATTGTGTACTTGATTTGTACAGAAAGGCACCATTGTGCTACATTAAAGTTTCAGAACCTGATGGGAAGAGCCAAGCTTTGTTTATCACATCTGAGTGTACTTACTGTATAACATAGATGTTGACCTTCGTTTCCCCCATATCAACATGTAAAAGGACACTCTTGTAACTAAAACCAAGCAAAGCGCTGAGGAAGCCTTTTAGAATGATCTTGGCCTTGCCTCCAAATCCTGTCTTCCATTTTGTTCTGTACTTTCTGACCACTCTTGGGAATAAAACTCAGACGCCTTTGAAGAAACTGGAATGGGCCATTCTTAACAGTTTACAAATTAAGTGCTTGATTTTTAATATATGCTCTGTTATTTTAATTTTCAGATGTTCTTAATATTTGAAGATGTGCCTTTTATTGGGTAATGTTAAGTCAGGAATGTAGTAGTGTTCTTTCATGATTGTAATGTTACACGATCATGGGTGCAGCATTCTAACACAAATGATGTGAAAGGAAAGTAGTTTTCATAAAACTCATGGCTTTGCACAGTCCCACATGCTTTTGACATTGCTTTGTCAAAGCAAGGGCACTTTAAAGGTTTCTTTCTTGTCTTTGTATTTTCTCTAAATTAAAAATGCAGTTATGTCTATTTGGAGTTCCGCATGGCACAGTCTTGCATGTGTGACATGAGAAGGTTCAAAGACTTAACAAAACAGTCTGTGAGAACTCAGAATTCGAATTTTGTAACTTAAAAGCAGCTATTGGTACAACTCTGAGAGATAGCAAAAGACCAAAACATGTTTGGAAAGAGAATAAATATATGAAGACAGTCTGGTGGTTTTATTTTCAATGTGCTGAATGTATAGACTATTTATTTTGTGAGTGGATGTGATGAAATATTCAGGTATTTAGTGTATGGTTTAAAATGGAATATAGATTTCTTTGGAGTTACTAAATCCATCCTGTCTCTTTCATAATAGACAAATCAAGTTTTAAAAATTAAAAAACTTTTACATAGTTTAGCTTGTTTTCTGGTGCTGTTGACTTGCAAGAGAATCTACTTTTGCATATATAGATTAAAGTTTTACAATTTATGTATACAAGAAATTGTAGGCATTAAAAATATTTTACTGATATTTTTACTTGTTTGCATTTATTTACTAAGACCTTGAGATATT